TCTCTCTCTCTCTCTCTCTCTCTCTCTGACAGAGAAGGCTGTGTGCCTCACCAAAAGAATAGTAAATCCCAGCATAGAAGATAAAATGATAAATTAATATATAAACTATAAATTAATTAATATAAACTATAAATTAATATTACAAATTATAAATTAATATTATAAATTAATATAGTAAATGATAAATTAATTAATAATATAATTAATAATATAAACTATAAATTAATATTACAAATTATAAATTAATATTATAAATTATAAATTAATATTATAAATTAATATAGTAAATGATATATTAAGTAGATATGTATTACTTGTGTCTGTTTTTTTAAAGAATGTATTTTTTTTAAAAAAGTTAATAAAAAAATATATTTTTAAAAAATTACAAATTCCAGCCTAGAAGATAAATGGTAAATTAATATGGTAAATTAATATGATAAATGATAAATTAATATGGTAAATTAATATGGTAAATGATAAATTAAGTAGATCTGTATTACTTGTGTCTGTTTTTTTAAAGAATGTATTTTTGAAAATATATATTAATAAAAATATATATTTTTTAAAAAATTACAAATCCCAGCATAGAAGATAAATGATAAATAAATATGGTAAATTAATATGATAAAGGATAAATCAAGCAGAACTATATTACTTCTGTCTATTTTTTAAACAAAGTATTTTTTTAAAATGTTAATAAAATACATTTTAATAATAATAATGTATATATATATATATATATATATATATATATTAAATTACAAATCCCAGCCTAGAAGATAAATGATAACTTTTTTGGTAAATTAATATGATAAATGATAAATTAAGTAGAGCTGTATTACTTGTTTCTGTTTTTTTAAGAAAATATATATATTTAAAAATGTTAATAAAAATATATTTTTTTAAAAAATTGCAAATCCCAGCATAGAAGATAAATGATAAATATGATAAGTCAATATGATATAAGTCAATATGATAAACTGATATGATAAATGATAATTATTTTTTAAAATGTTAATAAAAATATATTTTTTAAAAAATTACAAATCCCAGCATAGAAGATAGATGATGAAGATGGAATTGACAATGTGGAAGGGAGATGTAAATTAAGTAGAGCTGTATTACATGTGTCAGTTTTTTTAAAGAATGTATTTTTTTAAAAAATGTTAATAAAATATATATTTTTAAAAAAATTACAAATCCCAGCACAGAACATAAATTATGAAGATGGGATTGATAATGTAGACAGTAGATGCACATTAGGTAGATCTGTACTACTTGTGTCTATTTTTTTTAAATGTATATTTTAAAAAAATGTTAATTTTTTTAAAATTACAAATCTCAGGATTCCATCGCACTGAGCCCTGGCTGTTAAAGCGGTGTCAAACTGCATTAATTTTGCAATGCAAATCAGACCTCGGAGCCACAAACTGTTAACTCAGGGTGAATCCCCACTGAAGAAATTATCCAATTTGACATCACTTTAACTGCCATGGCTCAGTGCTATGGAACTCAGGAAATTGTAGTTTGCTGTGGCACCAAACCTCTCTGACAGTGAAGGCGAAATATCTCACAAAACTACTTTTCCCAGAATTTTATAGCATTGAGCTCTGGCAGTTAAAATGGTGTCAAACTGGA